GTATAAATTAACATTATATAGAGCTGATAAATTTTACGAACTTTTGTATCTTGGTTGTAATTTAGAGAAGACAGGTGTTGTTATTGCGTGAAATAATAGATATTTAATTTACCTACTACGTGACATTTTGCCTATTCTGTGTTCATAGTTCTCCATCAAATTCTTATTTTGTATACTTTAAATTTGGAGATTGTATTTTAAAGTAAAAATGAAGCTTATTGTGATCAAAAATATGTCAGGTTATAGAATAAATTTATTCACATAATTTGTTTTATTTATTATCATACATAAATTCAGAAACAAATGTTACTTTTAAATATCAGAAAATAGTCATTGAAATGAATAATTTATTGCAGTTATTATTATTACTATCAGAGAATAACGTTTTTGTTGATTAAATGACATTCGCGACTGAAAAGCAGTCCTAAGCTATGCCAATATTTCTAGTTTTGTTTTCTCCGCTTTCCTTTCGCCTGGAATAGATTTACATCTTAAGTTTTTCAAGAAAGCGGCTTTATAGTATACGAATACATCTCTTGTATTTCCACCCTGTTTGGGCAGAAAGTGAACTTTTTTAAACTTTCTAAACCATTAAAATAGCTTCTGGGCTGCCTTCCTTTTTGTTAAGATCAAGGATTCAAAGAATATGTATTGTTCTTTGACGGATTCGTTTCCGGGGAAGACTGCTTTGAAGAAGAAAAGGGGAGGGGAAAGAGTTTTTTTTAATGCGAAAGCATTATTTTAGTGTATCGTTTGATAGTACAATATTTCTAGTTCTGGTTTTTCCTACTTTTGCGTGCACCATGCCTCTTAGCAACTGAAACCGACGTTTTTGAATAAAGGAAAGATTCAGTAGCTATGAAGCAACTAAACGCGGAAATTTACAACGATCGTGATCCAAAATGTTAGTGAGAAGAAAATATACCGTTGAAAAAAAAGAATCTTCGCCCAGTATAAAAAAAGTATAATAAACCAGTACATGTTTAAGACACAATAAAAAAATTTAAAAAAAAAAAAAAATTTTTTTTTTGATAAATATAACGCTGATTTTTGTTGTTTGACTTCTGAATCAGTACATGTTTGCAAACGAACTTTTGGAATTGGAAAAGAAACTGTTTTTTTCATTTGTTAGATTTATCAGTTTTTAATTCCCTTTCTGCTTTTTAAACAAAACAATCGAAAAAACAAAATGCACAAAAACAAATCATGTTACTTTAATTCAGGAGTTATAATAAAGAACCGAAAAAATATTGATTACCAGACTTTCTCTAACTTCTTAAATCATAAATATGCCACGAATGGATTGGATATATTTTCTTAAATTCAGTGTAGATTTCTGGATCGTCCAGTAACGATTGATTCAGACAGTAAAAAAGCCATTAGATAATGAGTGATGTTAAAGATCTACATTTTTTGTATTACTGTTGCTAATAATAATAATAGTCTCTAAATAATTTTTAAAAACTTAAGAAAAAAGGGAAAATACATATTCAGAGCACTGCTCTCAGACCACACATCGCTCTCATGAGCTTGGCCTAATGGCCGGGCCAAGCAGGAATGTAAATGTAGGTAGCGACAGACACACGCTCTCTTCCCGAAGAACCAGCTCTAAGAATAATGAATGTCCAAAGCCAGTGGAGCGCAGACGCTTTCCCTTTCTCTTAAAATCTGTAATTACACACTACAAAATCCTTCTGTCATCCACTGCTATATAGAGAGAAGCGTTTCTAGATATTTTACCGATTTCGAATAATTTATATTTCGCCATCAATAAACTAGCATCAATGCAGCTGGAGTGATATCTCAAAATAAAGAAGTATTCGGGGGAATTTGGGGAAAGATGTCCCGTTGAGGATTTTTTGGGAAACCAGCTGGTATCAGTGTTCCACGTGAGAAAACCACAAAAACGCCCATGAAATTAACCCGTTCGTCGGTACTCGAAACTCGAACCGAACTACCAGTGTTCAATAGTTTTTACCGCTCGGCCGCTGGTGGACCCACACAACCTATACAGCCTGATACTAATTATTCCGTATAACTTAGATGGAAAATTATTAGTGCTCACCTTAAGTATTTGCGAGAATGTAGCTACATAGGTCAGCATTTTTGATATTAGAGGGTAATGACTATTATTAAAATACTAGCTGGGGTACCCGGCTTCGCTCGGAGTTGATATCAGATTGTGTGGAAGATGGAATGAAAGGATAGACTTTAAAATATAAGAGGTAGCATTTTTATATTGAAAATATTTTCTAACTATATACAATACTTGTTTATAAACAACATTTTTCATTTTGCTATCTGGGGTATTTTATATGTACAAATTTTTCGAATCTCCTACTCGACAGCAAGCTAGGTATAGCTGACCGTGAGAAAAGCAGGAGTCTTTGAGGTTGATGCCGCAATGTTAAGTTTGTCTTTGCGCTTTGTTAATAGTAAAAGTATAGGCTAATTTGACTGTGAATTGCAGTCTTTTAAACGGGAATGGCGGTTCAGTAGATATCAGTAGTATTCTGGGGGATGAATACTGTGTGTTCTTTTCCTTTCCTGTCATAAGTTCGGCTGTGATGATGTTATTCGATAGCTGTTTGACGACCATCTTTGTTCCATTACATAGTTTTGGTGAGTTGAGATTTCAGAGCAGTGCCATCAGAGATCCAATTTTCAGTCGAAGGCAGTGTAATGGTATTCCTGGGGCTTGAAAAGAGTTTAAGAATTTAAGAATTATGTGCAGAAGTTAACACTTTCTTCATCGTTTACCATCGTGTCAATCGATTTGAATATTCTCTCTTCACCAGGAATTTTCTTTTGAATCTTGAGTGTATTCATACATGTGTCTCGGAGTTACTACGTAAGATGAGGTAAAAATACCATTGTTCCAATGTCGTTAATGTTTCCGTTATTCATGATCGTTTCTCGAAGGTGGATGTATTCTTCCGTGTGTAGTTTCTTCTGATTCAGTCTTATGTAAAGCATCCGTTCCGCTTCTATTCTTGCTACAGGAATCGTTGGAATAAATAGCGAGTGTTAAGAATATGATTGTCTCTGATCATTAAGCGGTAAGCATAGAAGAACTTCTTGGAAGTGACCATTTTGTTTGTTTCTACGCCTTTGTTTCACATTAAAATTATGTCCATCATCTGTAGGAATGTTAATGGATATTGTTGAGAATCATATGAATGGTGTGTCTCTGCAATGCGTTCCGTCCTTATCTTCTTCATTGTACAATTATGTCACGGCAATTATGTCCACAAAGACGATGGCCACTTCGTCCATCTAAGGTGCATTAAATCGACATTCGTGTTCTCCAGGTGGTCTCTTGTCAGCTCGAATTAAAACTTTATAGTCATCAGAAATCATTCGGTCTAGTGCTGTTTTGAATATGCGACTATGTTGACTGTATTTGTTTAAGATCCTCTGTACATCTTGGATTATTTCTCGTCTCAATACAGTGATGTTTGTGCATAGTTGATCAATTTTTCTTTCTTCATTTGCGATGAAATATACTTGCAGAAATTCATAGTCTTCATTAGGTAGTGGTAGTAATAATCCCATAATATAAATCAAATCAATTTTTTTATTAAGAAATACACTAAATACACTTTACACACGCTTTTATTTTCGATTTACATTCAGCCACTGTATCACTTTAATTACTCACACTACACTGTTTTTATTCATTCACTGCACTTCACTGATAAGAAACTGGCGTTCAAACCCACGTCGAATCTTGTTTTATATACCCCTACCAGTGGGTAGTTCACACCCATGTAAAAAAGGCTTCGAATGGTCCACAATTTTTCAGAACGTTCCCAACATTCGAGAGTGTTCTGGAATTTTCCACAATGATCTGGGATGTTCCCGAACATTCCACAACATTCCAGAATGTTCCAGGATGTTCAGGAATGTTGTGTAATGCTCTCGAATGCTCTGGAGTGTTCTAGAAATTTCTAGAGGGCGAAATTTCCAGCCCTTATATCTTTAAAAGCACGGCCTTCGGGTAAAAATGGAACCTTCTTCCTGGATGGGACATTAGAAGGCTACCATACCATACAACTCCTTTGATCGCCTCGGGACTCATTTCTAAGTCTTAGCGGCACGCACATTATGCATTTACTTTTATAATATACATTAATTTCTAAGCACGTAAGTATTAACACTAACTATACCTTGTAGTAAATAGACAAAATAATCGATTACAAGCATAAAAATAATATATATTCCACGATTTAATATATAAACCAACTATTTAAACGTTTACTGGGAAACGTGATTTTTTCCCCCATACTTCTCAGGTTAATTTTTGAACACTGTTCCCTTGGTACAAAGGCCATTGTCGTTTCATAATGTAGCCTTTCTTGCAGAAACATCCGCTCATGCACTGTTTCGTGCAAACTGGATTTGGTTTGGAACGCGTTGATGGACAAGCCTTTCCGCAGTTTTTATATTCTTCATTTGTTCCAAAAGTTCATGTAACTTTGCAAATAAGGATTAAACAGCAAAATATGCACCCTTCACTATAAGGCATTTCTCCCGGCCTTCTTAACGAGCCTTCGTGGTGTAGTGGTCTGCACGCTCAGCGCGAAATTGAGAGGTCCACGGTTCGATTCCCGGTGAAAGCGTTGCTAATTTTTCATCTTTCCTGCTTCCCCCCCCCGAAAAAAATTAATGACTCTACGGTGGCGCTCGAACTAAAAGGGTGTTGGATGATGATTTTCCTCACCCGGGATTTGGCGATTGGGTCCCCTAAAAAACCCAGTCACCCTTTAAAAAAGGGGAGTATATAATGTATTCTTCCACCATCTTGGAATGCCTTCGTGGTGTGGTGGTCTGCACGCTCAACGCGTAATTGAGAGGTCCGCGGTTCGATTCACGGCAAAGGCGTTGCATATTTTTCATCTTGCTGCTTCGAAAACTTACCTAATAATCTCTACATCGTCACTATTAAAATCTGGAATGTTAAAAAAAATTATTTCATTGCATAATGTTTCGCTTCTTACCTTTCGGACAATCCTTCCTTGGTATGCAAACATGTCTGTCGTTTCTAATATAGCCTTTCTTGCAGAAACATCCACTCACGCACTTATCTATGCAAATTCTATCTGGGTTCGAACAAGTTGGGGGACAAGCCGTTCCGCAATCGTTATATTCTTCATTTTTTCCGCAAATTCCTATACGTTTACAAATAACGATTCAGTCAGCAGAAATATAGCTATTTAATGCTAAATAGTCACTGTATAAATGATAAAAGAAATACTTTCAAAGATTTTTCTCTTTATATTTCTTAACTTACCATTTGGGCATTGTTCCCTTCGTATGCAAATACCATTGTCGTTTCTAATGTAACCTTTCTTGCAGACACACCCTCTTACGCACTGTTTTGTGCAAACTGGATTTGGCCGGGAACAAGTGGCAGGACAAGCTGTTCCGCAATTATTATATTCTTCATTTATTCCACAGCTACCTTTAAATTTGGAGGAACGGTTTATATTTTTCAAAGTGAAGTCATTTAATTCACAAATCTACTATTTAAATTTACAATGTACGAAATTATTTTCCTTCGTCATATACTCTGCCTAATAGATAAAATGCCACAGAATAAATAAATAAATTCGATGTCATGTACATTTCTGTGGGAGGGTGCAAAGATAAGATTTTTAAAAACGATTGTATTCATAAGCTAATCAGATAATTCACATGGGATAAGAGAGTCCATATAAAGCCCAAAGCTATCAGTTTCAGTGGCAACACAGCTATCACACACGAATTTCTCAACAGTTTCCGAATCCCGTGAACATAATGTGTGCAGGAAGTGATCGTATTCTGTATCAGCAAATGAGATCATAAGGCGATCATGTTGAGCCTTGGTATCCTTGATAGACCTTTATGGTCGTACCGCGGAGGAAGCGGAAATTGGTAAAACTGTTCTCGGATTTTGGCGAGAATGGACGAAAAAAAAAATGCCCAACACTCCAGGGCGTCTGAAGCAAGTAGGTAGATGTGAAATCGCAGTAATTCTCAGGTATGGCATGAAGTAAAATCTGATCCATGGTTCCACAGCTGAAGATATGCTGCGAAATGTGGAGGATGTGTTTTAACGTGATGGTTAAATTTAGTTTCAAATAGCTGTACAAGATTTTGCAATGATTTTTTTAGCATTATTTTTGTGTTTGAAAATCTTCTGGTCTTTGGAAGTAAATGAAAATTTGTGGAGAATTTGCAGTTTTTGCACTTTTAAAAACCATGTGATTGCTTTTGTTTTTGGAACGTACTGCTGCGGCAACTAATTCATCTTCACAGTTGTACATAATCAGCATGATCTTGCATTTTTATTATCTCAATAGCTTTACCAATTTAAGGATTTTGAATGTGTCAATACATAACATTTGAATGCGTTGTTAGATGTGAATAAATTTTGGTAAACCTGACATTGATTCATGTTTTAGACCAAGCTTTGGAATTAATTTATTTATCGTTGCATTTATGGTTTCCGTAACGTTTTTACAACTTTGAGTGAGGGCATTCCACGCCATTTCATAATCCGCGTTTGAAGTTTGATCTGATTGTAGTAAAGAAGACATTTCACCTTTCATTGAAAATCTTAAAATATTTTGTTTTCTGATTATCATTTAACGGGCTGATAATTCGAACACTCGCAAGAAATAAAGCCGGAAATATACATCAACGTGTAATTAGACTTAAACACTGGGAATTCTAAGAGAGGAACTTAAAAATTATTTTAAGTTTTCGTGTCTCTTCTTTTAAAAAAATTTCTAATATATCCAATTCAGAAAACAATTCGTACATTTCTCTTTTGTCTGCGTCAAAACAAAAACTAACAATCTTATCGCTAAGAGTGTTTACTTTATTATCTAAAGCTCTAGCGTCATTTTCATACACTTAAAAAACAGAAAAAGAATTTTCTTGATTTTGTGAAACATCTAATTTGTCAAATTAAACAAGTTAGCTTACCTTTTATGCCTCCCTTTGTTTTATGTGACATCTTACGCTTCGATTTGTGACCTTCCAATCTAATTGCGATACGTATTCCTCTCTTGATTAGCTCCGTATTCTGTTGTATACATATGTTTTCGTGGACTGATACACTTTTACGATAGTTTAAAGAAAAGGTATCTGTGTAAACGCAAGATGATCGAGCGATTATTCTTTGTGCTTGTAATAGCACGATGACCTGATGATCTGCATTTCTATTGTAGATGAATGGATCTTATGTGAGTTGTTCGTGATGGGGTAATGTTTAGCATTTTCTGACACTGTTTACTGTACACACAAACTACATATTATTTATTTATACATGTTTTCCTATTTCCTGTTAGAAAGAAAGAGAATAAGGTTTCGTTGAGGACTTTTTGTCGAAAACCGGCTGGTATCCGTGTTACAGGTGAAGAAAAGAATAAAAACGCCCATGCAGCCAAACCGTTCATCGGGACTCGAACCTCGCACCGAACAGCCAGTCTTTAATCTTTTTTACCATTCGGCCGCTACACCCACACAACCTATACAGCCTGATACTAATTACTGTATATAACTGAAATTAAAGATGATGCTCACTTAATAAGTGCGAAGTAAGTATTAATACTTTCATTTGCATATATGTACTTATTAAGTATTATAGTAAGTATAATACTAAATAAGCATTTGCGAGATTGCAGCTATATTGGCAAACATTATCCTATCAGAGGGGAATAACTGTTATTAAAATATTTCTGAGCAAATAAGCACTAACACTAGCTAAAACTCGTAGAAAGTAGATAAATTATTGATTACAAGCATATTACTTTGCATAAAAATAATATACAATATGCCATTTAATATAAACTCACTGTTCAGGCTTTTAGTAAGAAATAGAAACTTTCCTCATACTTTTCTCAGATTACTTTTTGGACATTGTTCCTATGATATTTAAAGATCACTGTCACTTCTGATGTAGCCTTCCTTGAAAAAACATCCCTTCACGCACTGTTTCGTGTAAATTGGATTTGTTTTGAAACACGTTGGCGGACAAGCCATTCTGCAGTTTTTATATACTTCATTGTTCCAGAAGTTCCTGTAGTTTTAAATAAGGATTTAACCGCAAGATATGCACCCTTCATTACTATTAAAACCTGCGAAGTGAAACAAAAATACTTCGTTACAATGTTTCTCTTCTTCTCTTTAGGGCAATATTTCCTTGGTATTCAAATATAATTGTCGTTTCTAATATAGTCTTTCTTTCAAAAACATCCACTCATGCACTGCTCTATGCAAATTATATCTGGATTCGAACAAGTTGGGGGGCAAGCCGTTCCACAATCATTATATTTTTCACTTTCGCTGCAAGTTCCTATAAAGTTTATAAATAACGATTAACTCATAAAAATATAGCTAATGCTAAATAGCCATAAAAGAATTTTCTCGTTATATTTCTTGACATACCTTTCGGACATTGTTCCCTTCGTATGCAAATACCATTGTCGTTTCTAATGTAACCTTTCTTGCAGAAACACCCCCTCACGCACTGTTTTGTGCAAATTGGATTTGGCTTGGAACAAGTAGGAGGACAAGCTGTTCTGCAAAAGTTATATTCTTCATTTATTCCACAAATTCCTGTAATTTTGGACGTACGGTTTATATTACTAAAAATGCAGTCATTTAATCCACAAATCTACTATTTAAATTGATAATGTACGAAATTAGTTTTCGTCTCGTATACTCTGCCTAACAGATAAAATGCCACATAAGAAAGAAAGCAAGGCGATGTTGTGTACATTTGTGTGAGGGGAGTGAAAACATAAGATTTTTAGAATCGATACTATATATAAGCTAATGAGATAACCTATATTGATATGAGCGTCCAAATAAAGCTCGAAGCAATCAGTTTCAGTGGCAACACAGCTATAATACACGACCAATTAAGAGTTTCCGAATCTCATGAACTGGAAAAAGTCTGTTCTGTCTGTAGAAAGTAATCGTATTCTGTACAAGCAAATGAGTTCATACGGCAATTCATGTTAAGCCTCCGTATCGTTGATAGATCTTTAATGTTGTATCGCGGAGAAAGAGCAAATTGATACAAATTCGTTTAGGTGAGCCTGGACACAGAAACAAAATGCACAACATTCCAGAGCGTCTGAAGCAACTAGAAGGATGTGAAATTATATTAATTCTCAGGTATGGCATGAAGTCAGATATAATCCATGCTCCACGGCTGAAGATATTCTGTGAAATGTGCAGGATGTTTCTGTTGCTGCAATTTAGACACAGACAGTTTCGTAAACAGATTTTAATATAGATTTCAAAGTTTTGTTTTCCAAAAACTTCCATTAACAGTAAACCTTTCTCATAAACGTCTGGAATAGTGTCGCAGCAGAGCTATGTAAAGTGCCGAATGCGACAGTGTTGTCGTCAGAGACGAATCGCGCTTTCTACTCGAAAAATGATATTCGGCGTATGAGCATTTGGAGACTGGAGCATTATATACACTAAGCAAAGTAATCTACGATTTTTCGAACGATAACATTTTACCAGTGTGTTTTCGGGTGCCAGTAACGCTAACATACTTTCATCTCTAAAGCGCGTTGCCAGCCATATTGGATACTGCCACGCTGATCACATGTTGCATGCACATCTACTTCCAGGCATACCAAAAACCATTTTGGAAAAAAAATATCATTTAGCTGCACATGTTCTGCTTACTCAGAATGCAACTATAGGTTGCACTTGCTAGATATGCAAGTGCTCAGAACCAGACCGAATTACTGCAGAAAGTGCCCTTCACACACTGTCCTGAGCAAACTAGATTTGGATTTGAATAAGTTAGGGAAAAAAACCGTACCACAATTATTATCTTCTTCATTTTTTTCTAAAGATGCTAGAAATTTTTAAATAAGAATTAAACCATAAAAAATTCAGTTATTTTAAACTGTAAATCAACTATTAAAATATTTAATGCAACTAATAATTTCACTCCATCATGTGTCTGAGCTTACCTTTCCGACATTGTTTTCTTGTTATCGGGCAATATGCCTGATACGAAAGTCCAGTTAACATAATTATTTTTATATTCCGTATGAGGGTATGACTTCTTGGATTAGAGAAAAAACATTTTTTCTTAACTTTATTTTACAGTGAATCTGAAAATATTTTCAAAGTATTCTGGAAGTTATTTTTGAGGTTTTGTAAGATCAGTGGCTACTAGGCAAACAATGAACTCGTTTCAGAAATCTGTTCTTAAAACCAATTCCTTTTACAATTACTTTATTTCCTTACTAGTTTGGCTGAGAGCAAGACAGTCTTGAAAATTTAACTATACCATTACTTGGAACCATAATCGGGACATTTGAATCTTAATCTTGAACAGAAAGTTGGTAAGTTTGAATATATAATCAGATTTCCGTGTGTCCACATCATTGGCCAAATATGCGTACGGGAAAAATTACACATTGTCCACGTTAATTTACTATAAATGCTAAAATGAAGCAGATTTTATAATCCATAATTACTATAGAATTAAGCCTGAAGCTTGTAGGAGTTCTATTCAAAATATAAACAGCTGTATTTACAGTTTCTGCCCGCAGATACAACGATATTTATTTGGAAGGCATCACTGGTCAAGATCTTTCCACAAATGTGTGCATGTCCCTTTCACATTTTCCATTTTTCTGTGGAGTATAACTAGATGTTGCTTGTAATTGAATAAGCTTTTTGTTTAGAAAATCATCGAAATGCAAATTAATGCATTCGGTTCCATTGTAAAATCTAAGTTATGGCTAAATTTATTTTCACATAGCTGGAAAAGGTTTTTAAATGGATTATGAACATTGTTTTTGTGTTTAAAAAAGCAAACTGCTCTGAAAACAATATAACATCTTCCGTTAATATGAAATAACTCATTCCATATACTGATTATGTGCACATAGTGCCACACATGTCACTGCGTATTAATTCTACTGGTGTTTGGAACCAAGCGAAAATTTATGTTGCGTATGGTATTGGCAGACATCGCAAAAGAATTCATTTTTCTTTGAGACATGTAGATTTTAATTATTTATTTATCAATTAGGGCATAAACTATATAATTACTGAAAATATTTTAAGTTCTGATTTCATATTTATAGGTTCTGCTGTTTCATGCTGTATTCCTAGACTACCCTTGTGAGAAATGTTTGCTTCAAGCTAACATGCAGTTTTATAAACCGTCTGATATCATTTCTTTGCAGATCGTCCTGCTGAGGCAAATAACACATCTTGACACTCGTATATAACCAGCATGATCTTTAGTATCTCCATAGCTTTACCTATTTAAAGAATTTTAATGCGTAAATACATTCTTGTGTTGTGTCAATGAATTTTAGGAAATGTGACGTTGATTCGTACTTTAGACCAATCATTGAAACTAATTTATTTAGCGTTGCATTTAAAGTTTCCGTTTCGCTTTCAGTATGCTGAGGGAGGGCATCCCACGCCTTTGCATAATTTGCGTTTGAAGTTTGAACTGACTGTTATAAAGTAGACATTACACCTTTAACGGAAAGGTTAAGTTATTATGATTTCTGACTATCACTTGATGGACTGTCATTTCCAACACTCGCAAGAACTTAATCCCAAATAAAAAACCAATGTATAATTCGACGTAAATACGAGAAATTCTACGAGAGGAATTCTTAAATTATTTACATTAACATTTACACTATTTTGCCATGTATTAGTATTGTAACGTATTTCCGTTGCTATGCTGCAAACATAATGCCAGTAAGAAACCTCGAGTAAAGAAACTTCGCGCATAAAATATCCGTTCCTGAAGATGCACGCGCTCAAAATAATTTTCAGTTATTCTGTAAGTTTGACTAATGAAGTTGGTTGTTCGATTAAAAATGGAGATAATTCTATAAAACTTAATTTCAGACGTATAAAAGAATAAATATCTGGTGAATCTGAGATCTTTTGAGAATTCTGAGATCGAAAGGTGAAACCAGTGTTTATTTAAAAACAAACTAAATACAGTACGTGTGAGATTAAGTTTTTTTATGAATACTGTGGCATTTTATATGAACATTTTCATCTTCTTATTGAATTCAACTAATAGCAGGATATTATAATTTTAAGCTTTTGGATTAAATCGCCAAAATATTTATCCTGATTAGGATGTTCTTTTAAAATTTAAGCTTTTGTATTAGATTGGCAAATTTTTTACCTTAATATTAGAATAATTCCATTATAAAATTTGAGCTTTTGTATTAGAGGGGCAAATTTATTACGTTAATATTATAATATATCTATTCTTAAATTTGAGTTACTGTATTAGATACAGAATTTTGTTGTGTGAATCAAGTTAGAGGCTTGAATTTTTTTATTTCTTTCAGTATAATTTATTGAGAACAAGCTTCGCAGATTTTTGTTTACGGAAAGCACGTATGTTTTATTGCAATTACGTTTTGTCATATTTGAGTTTCTAATTAAAAAAAACGGCTAGATTGAGCAAGTTGATTTCAGTTTTTTAAAATTGGCTAAAATTCTTTTAAAATTAATTCTGAAACGCTGTCCAAGAGTTTTACTGTTTCTAAAACAAGGACTTGGGCAGTTCAAGGTGATGCCGTAATGCGCCGGCAACATTCGAACGCATCAAGGACACTGCTTTGAAAAGTCCTTCTTACGAAGCCTGTCTGATATACCTGAATGACATTATCATCGGTGGAAAGAGGTCTGAAGAACATACAGATAATCTCAGAAAGGGGCTTCAGAAACTGAAAGAGGCCAATCTAAACTTGAATCCCGTTAAATGTAAATATTGACACAGGAAGTGACTTACCTCGGACATGTCATCTCTGCTGAATGTGTGTGCATAGTTCCTGAAAAAGTGTCAGCCGTTAAAAACTGGAAACGTTCCGAAAATGTTCATCAGCTGAAAAGCTTTCTGAGACTTTGCACTTACTATAGGAGATTTGTGAAGATTCCTTTATTCCGTCGCAACGAACCCTCCACAAACTGACAGAAAGCAAACAAACGTTCTTGTGGCCAGAGGAATGTGATGATGCACAGCTAATTTTATCATCGGCTCCAATCATGACGTATCCTCAGACAAACCATTTATTCTCGACACCATTTATTCTCGAAGAGAGTGTCGGCGCTATTTTGTCCCAACGTAACGTCAAAACGTGATGTTTTGTCCAAGTAAACGGCCAAGAACGGGTCGTGGCCTACTGGTGCAAGTGCCTATCGAAACCAAAAAGGAATTACTGTGTCACCAGGAAAGAGTTTCTCGCCATAGTTAAAGTAGTAGAGTATTTCCATCATTATCTCTACAGCAGAAAATTCCTGCTCTGCCCGGATCATGCGTCTCTGACCTGGCTTCTAAATTTCCAGAATCCTGAAGGTCATATAACCAGGTGGATATAGAGATTCCAGTAATATGACATCATTATCCATCATCGGAAAAGAACATCAAATGAAAATGTTGATGCCCTGTCAAGACCTTGCTCAGAAAGCTGCTGATATTGTTCCAGGATCGAAGCGAAATATGGGCTGCTTAAACCGGTCGCACGACAACGTGCAACATCATCATCGGCTGACGGAGACCAATGCAGTGTCAGAAAGTTAGAAAAGAGCAGCTGGAGGACGGCAACATTAAACCCATAAGTGGCTTAAAGGAGTCTTTACACAGACAAAATTCCTTGCAGGACATTTCGATCTATAGTCCTACGACAAAATAGTATAAGGCTCTTTGGGAGCCTCTGCGCATTCGAAACGGAATCTTATACCGGAAATTCGAATCGGGAAGGGTTTCCTAGTGGCAGCTTCTAAGACCCCGAATGTCCTTACAGAACCTTACAGGAGGCTACTCGGAATAATGAAGACCTTGCAGAGAGATAGACAACGCTTCTGCTGGAGCAAGGCAAAGGATGACATGCAAAAGTGGTGTCGATTTTTCGATGCCTGTGCAGGTCGGAAAGGACCGAAGAAACGCAACCGAGGCAAGCTAAAACGTTACAACGTAGGAGCGCCTTTTTAGCGTATCGCCTTTGACAGCTTATAATTTCTGCCACGAACTGCGGATGGCAACAAATACATCATCATTGTCAATGATTATTTCACCAAGTGGCCTGAAGCATATCCTATTCCTGATCAAGAGGCTACCACAGTAGCCGGAGGTAATGGATACTGCACTGGATTTCCAGGTTCCGAGTACTTCTTCAGTTACATTTTTATCAGGGAAGAAGTTTTACCTCGGCTGTAATCAAAGAACTCTGCAAGCTACTCGCCATTGACAAAACACAAATGACGCCCTTACATCTCCAGTCGGACGGCATGGTAGAGAGATTCAACCGAACCATCCTTAGTAACCTCTCATTGGTGGAATATGTTATTGATGTCCATTATATTGGAATGTTTTATTGCTGTATATCTTTGGAAATTTGTCAAGAGCTTGATTATCTACCTATGTACAAAATTTGGTTTCTTTCCAATCACTCTTTCGTGGTGCGGCATTCCATTTCTCGGACGATAGTGTATTTCTCAGCTTACCCTTTGGACTTCGTTCCTTTGGTATGCAAATAGCATTGCCGTTTCCATGCAAATACCATTTTTTCCACACGTTCCTTTAATTTAAGGAATATGGATTAAATCTTACGAAATGCAGCTATTCAATACCACAGACCTAGTACTTAAATGTTTAATGTAAAAAATTATTTTTTCCATAATATTTCTCAACTTACGTTTTGGGCATAATTCTCTTCGTGTACAATGACCATCATCGTTTTTAATATAACCTTTCTTGCAGAAACAGCCTTTCACACATTGTCTTGTGCAAACTGGATTTGGATTTGAACAAGTTGGGGGACAAGCCGTTCCGCAATTATTATATTCTTCATTTTTTCTACAGATGCCTGTAATTTTTAACTATTAGTTAAAACATAAAAACTGCAGCATTTTAAAATTATAATTCAACTATTCAAATATTTAATGCAAATAATTATGTTACTGCATCATAGTTGAGCTTACCTTTCGGACATTGTTTTTTTGGTATACAAATTCCGTTATCGTTTCTTAGGTAACCTTTTTTACAGAAACAGCCGCTCACGCACTGTGAAGTACAAATTTGATTTGGAATGGAACAACTTGGAGGACAAGCCGTTCCACAATTACTGTATTGTTCGTTTCTCCCACAAATGCCTGGAACTTTAGAAATAGGAAGTAAATTGTATGAAATTCAGATGTTCTTTAATCTTTCTATTTAAACTACTTAATGAATGGAAACTTTGATTAATCCTTTGCTGCTATGTTTTGAACACAGTTTTCAGAAAGAAAATCGCTCATTTTGAGATACGCTTTCAAGTGATAAACGCAACTATAAGCTGATATAAGAATCCAGTTAGCATTTTTATTTTTTAATTCCGTATGAGAATATGTGTGGCTGGATCATCGAAAAAACATTTTTCCTTAATTGCAATTTGCAGCGAATCTGAAAATTATTTTCAAAACATTCTCGAAGTTCCTTTGGAGCGTTGGTAGATCAGTTGCTACTAGGAAAACAACGAACGCGTTTCAGAAATCTGATCTTAATTCTTAAAGTTATTATTTTATTTTGCTTACTGTATTTCTTGAGAGTAATAAAATTTTGGAAAATTACTGGATGGATAGGCAGAAATTACATCAGTTGATTGCAAGCGAGGATACAATTTATTATTCTAAGTTTTGAATAAGTTCTAAGTCAGTAAATGCGTTTTGGCTATTAAGTTCAAGTAAATATTGTTCAGGAAGGTTTTACCATCATTAAATGATTTGGTGCTACTTTGGTAGACGGTTGCACGGATTTTGGCGATTTTTGGCGATTTTTTGTGGCGAGTAATACAACTTATGGTAAACCCGTTGCTGGATAAATTATTTATGGTAACCGATACATTGTTGTCATTTTATTTAAAAAATAATGTGTTTTATTGTGCATAAATTCTGTGTTTTAAATATTATTTATGGCTTCTAAATATTAAAAATAAATTTAATTTTGCATTTTTATTTGAAATAAAAATTTTATTGTTTATCATGTTTTATGAAATTTTATGTTGTGGATGATGTAATCAATGACGTCGCCTTACTTTAAAAGTAATTGGTTTTAATATCTATAAATTTAATCTAATGTTTTAAACATTATTTATGGCTGTAAATATTAAAATACAATTTAATTTTGCATTTTTTAAAAAATGATTTTATTATGTATGAATTTTTAAATAATTTTAATTCTAGGCGTGATGTTCTCTGATTGGTTATAGAATATTTGTGCATTAACAAGCTGTAATCAGCTCCCTGATTGGTTACTGAAAATTTGTGCATTTCCGCACCATTTTAAAATTTAATTCATATCTTCGAATTCCTTCAAAGATGTCTTCAAAGATGTTATCTAAATTATGATTCCGATTTTTTTTGTGGTACTTATCAATAAACAATAGGTTAAATGACTCAAAAATATGTAAGTACATATTTATTTTATAATTGTATACTTCAATTTTTGTTAAAAAAAATTAATACACTATTTTTAAAAATTGCTGAGATAATTATTGTCCATATGTTTTAATATTAATTATATTCTATATAACGTATTTTAAAAAAAGTATTTGAATTTAATAATATTCTAATTCTTTTAAATGTTGGTATTATGGTTTTTAATTCGATATTCAATTTCAGTAATATTTTAATCTAATTAAACGTTGGCACAATGTTTTTATAGCGGTGTTTTTATTCTCTTCTTTGCTATATGAAAGTAAGGTACAATTCGGTTTCGGGGACCGTAAAAAATTGCAGCGAAAATGCATGCGCAAAAGCGCCAAATCTAGCAAACTCGCCCATTAAACTGCACGCCAAAGCTCGCGAACGCGCCGATATCAAATTGCGTAAGTTTTAGATAGTTCTTATATTTGTAAGTCGCCATTGAAATAATAGTTTAATTTTCTAATTCTCTTTTGATAAAGCTATGGATTTTACAATTTGGGAATTGCCGAGTGAAGCAAAGTCTGCAATAGAATTTTTTCAAAAAAAAAAAAAAAAAAAAAAAGGCATCATTCATGATAAAAAATTATGTTTGAACAATCATGAGATGAAATTATGCGTTATCGATAACTCGGTAGCAAAATGGCGATGCAGGAAAGAAACCTGTAATGAGTATGTTTCCATTCAGTTATTTTAGCCTTTTTTATATAAATAATAATAATAAAAAATTGTATGATGTGAAATTAACCTTTTTATCTAAATTAAAATAATAATCTGAAACAGTTATTTACTCTTATGCTTCCATTCAGTCATGTTTAGCCTTTTTTATATAAATTATAATAATAAAAAACGTACTATATGAAAGTAACTTTTCAACTAAGTTAAAGCATCAATCTTAAATAGTTATTTACCATTATACTTCCTTTCTTGCGTTAGTGTTGCTGCAATTATTTTGGCAGCATTGGCATCAACAATAGTTTGGCAATTTTTTACTGCCCTCAAAACCGAATAATAACAACGAAACGAAACGAAAGTAATAATAACCTTACTTTAGTATTTTATACTCATAGTTAATGTATTTATTTACACTTGCCTACCATCTTAAAAAACGACATTTTCAACAAAAAATTAATCCATTACTTTTCACGATATTTATTTATTATTTTTCTTAAAGTTTCGAATACTTTACTATGCGTAAAAACAGCGTTTTTCAAGATGGCTGACGTTTGTAAAAATCGCGCCAACGTAAATCGCCAAAAATCCGTGCAACCGTCTACCAAAGTAGTACCAATGATTTTCTGCTAACAGTAAATTGGCTATAAAAGATTCTATGTTATTTGCATTTTTTTCTTGTTAAAAGGTTTCTGCAAAAATAATAAAACAAAGCATATTATATGAATAGAAGCATTAGTGTTAAGCTGATAATTGTTTGAATTTTCTGCTGAAAAAAAGTTGAAGTTAATTAATTTCATTTAAGAAAAATCAGAATTTAATTTAATTCTTCGGATTATTAATTTAATGTATTAATATTCTGTTATCTAAATTTTACGTTTTGGAAAAAAACAATGCTTCAATAAAATTTTTCGTTTTATTTATTTTAACCGGGAAAGTTTCGTTTTTTTTATGAGATACATTCCGCAAGAGAAGAAAAGGAAAAATGTGGTCACGTGTTTACGAACAACAACATCGGCATGTGCTATGTTTACAGTGGAGTCGATAGCAAATACACTGACTACCAAAAAGTATTTGCACACCTGTGATAGAAAAGAAAAATTAACTCTATTCAAAATCAATAGTTGGTAGAGCCTCCACGAGAGGTAATTACAGCTGGACCCTCCGGGGCATACTTTCCACAAGTCCTTGTATGACAGCTAGTGGTATTTTCTTCCACTCGGCTTGGAGAAGACATAGAAGTTCCTTCACCGATTTTGCACGGGTAGTGCACCCCTGAATTCGGCGATGCAACTCGTCCCAGAGGTTCTCGATAGGGTTCAAGTCTTGACTCTGGGCAGGCCAGTCCATTCGATGAACTCCATTGGCACCATACCAAGCCTTGGTTAACGTCGAAACATGACAACTGGCATTGTCGTCCTGAAAGTAAGAGGGGTCCAACCCGTAAAACTGCCACAACGTAGGAAGCACATTGTCATCCAAAATAGTGCAGTAGGCATCGGAGTTGAGCTTACCATGAATAAGGACCAAGGGTCCCAACCCATACCAGGAGAAACACCCCCAGACCATAATTCCACCTCCGCCGAACTTGACTGTTGGCACAATACATTCTGGCAGGAGACGTTCTCCAGGTAGACGCCAGACCCAGACTCTGCCATCCGAAGGGTAAAGGTGAACCTTGATTCGTCACTCCAAAGAACCCGTCTCCACTGATCTACGGTCCAATTTCGATGTGCTTTGCACCACATTAACCGAGCAGCGCGGTTGGACTTTGTGATCAAAGGCTTATGGGCCGCAGCACGACCATGAAAACCAAGCAGATGTGCTTCCTTACGGATGGTATTCATTGAAACAATACCCCCGGATAGCTGTTGAAACTTCTCGCGGATGAGGGCCATCGGTTGGGTGCGGTTCTTCGAATTTCTCTGGACAGCACTCGTCGGTCTCTATCTCCCAGTTTGGTTGGTCTGCCGACTTGGGGCACATTCCGACAATCACTGCTCACCTTCCACTTCTTAATCACATAGGCCACTGTCGATTTTGGGTACAGTAAGACCCCGCTTAACGCAGTTTCGTTTAGCGCTGTTTCGGTTTAGCGCTCTTTTATTTCAACCCGGGGATTCCCCAAAATTGCTCGCAGCACTACGGGCAAAGAATATGTATTGCGCGCAGCGCTAGGTTTCCAAATAACATATACGAAACAGTGTAGTTGTGTTTCTTGTTTGGTGCGGTGTTGTACGGACATATTTTTATCATTTCAAACATTTGTTGACATTATTGTAAGTATAAATTTGTATAATACTATAACGATTAATACAGTGACAAGTATTATGATCTTTAGTTTTTATCATGGGTGATAATAAAAAACAAGAAAAGAAAGCAACCAGAAAAAGCATTTCACTGGTAACTAAAATGCAAGCGATTAGAAGATTAGATTCTGGGGAACTTCAACAATAAGGACAATTCATAAGAATAAAGAAAAAATACTGTCATCGGCAACAGCAACTAGAATTACCCGTTCTAGAAATAACATTATAGAGGAAATGGAAAAACGACTGTCTATATGGATTGACGACGAAATTGAACGCAGTATGCCATTAAGCCAATCTATCATAATGCTTTCTCGACAAAAAGGCAGAAAATTGGAAACAGAATAGACTGAATGATCTGACTGACTGAGAATTTTATTTGTTTTTATAAGTATATTCGTTTATATTGTTTCTATTTTGGTAAGAAATAAATGTTTGGTTTTATTTTTTATTAAAAAAAACATTATTAAATTTAATACCTAACCAATTTTCTATCCATCTTCCCCTAACCCCATTATTTACATGTTAAGATAGCCTCGTTTAGCGCTGTTTCGCATTATGCTCTACTTTGATGGAAAAGCGGGGTCTTACTGTACTTCAGATCGCTAGATATGTCCCTTAAGGATCGGCCACATTTGTGATACCCGATAATTATATTTTTCTCGAAATCAGAGAGCTCCGAACTGCGAGGCATCTTGCATGCGACTAAAGCCGATG